CAGAGGTTACTTTAAAACAATATTTCTTTTAAAAAATAAAGGAAAAGAAAAACGTGATGGACAACTGAGGCAAGAGGTTAAGAACCACTTCCTTATCCCCATCATGCCCTTGATGCTACCTCCACTCTCAGCAAGCAAGTTTTCCTCCTCCTAGAGCACACAATGAGCTTTACCCCTGCAGGGATTTGAACGTTCCACCTCCTCTCCCTTTGAGAAACTAGACGGCCAAGCACAACACCACCCACCCCTTTGCCCCGCCACAGACAGAACTGCTTATCTTCCTCTTCCTTCATTACAACTGCCTTGAATTCATGGACAGTTCACCATTTTCTCTTCCACAGCACACAGCACAGACTCTTGCAGATAAACAGTGCTTAATAAATAACTGTTTAATAAGTAAGTGGCAAATGTTTGAACAGGAAAGACTGACTCATAGTGCTCACAGGCAGGCTTTGTCCTGTAGGGGAAAACTGAAGGGGATTCTTCATGGGAGTACTTGGCATTCTCAAGCCAACAGATCGCCTGGGGTAGTTGCTCACTGTGATCACCACCAAAGGGCAAGAGGAGAAATCGCTGTGGTGCAGCAGAGGATGAAAAACGTAGAACAGTCACGGACACCTGACAGATCAAGATGCATGGCTGTGTGTGTGAGCGCGCGTGTGTTCAGGGGACAGGGTAATGGAACTAGAACCATCTAAAAGCTGAATGAGGAACTACTTTTGGTACACCAGGAAGGCCCACAAGAATTGTCCCAGTAGCTGAGTCTGGTATCAGAGAAAGTCTAGACTGCTAATGGGGCAAGAATCTGAAAGTGAACCTAAGACCCTTTTACCAAAAAAAAACACAAACAAACAAAAAACAAAACCCAAACTACTGTATATAAATTCCAAGCCTATGCTCTTTCTACTACATCATGCTGCCTCCCAAGAGAATTGAAGTTTAACACAATTTAAAAGTTACATCAAAAAAGGTCCCTGAAGATCTGCTTAGTACTAAAACGCAGGTTCTTTGATAGACAGAAACCAGAAGCTTCTGGATTAGAAAATAAAAAAATTTGCTGATGTCACTCTGCCTGAGGCTCTGGAAGAAGATGAACGTGCCTGCTACCACAGGAAATGGGATGCTCACAATTTTTTCTGAGCCATAAAGGTTTTATTTATTACTTTAGGACTGCAAAATAAGGTAAGTTGTTATTTCAATAACAACTTGACATGGAAAGAAAAAAATATCATATTGATCCATCCTATTTCCCAAAAAAGATATTTCCTTCTACAGTCTAGAGGCAAATTGGACAGCAATTTCTACCACTGGCTTTTCCCTTGGTGCACGCAAACCCGGTTTCTGCTTTACGCAAAGCAGGTTTCAAGCTTAGATGTTTATAACAACTACTTCAACTTCTCTGAGCTTCCTAGAATAATTAATCATGATATTGCCAGTGGCACTGCCCAAGGATTGTCCGTATAAGAGCCCGGATGGAGTGGAAACAGAAGCACAGACAGAAAAGAACCTTAGAGAAGAGATTCTCTTGTGTGCAGAGTGGGGGACCTTTGTCAAGTAAACATCGCCCCCTCCCACCCCACATCCCTGCTCCCCACCCAAACACATGAAGGCTGCCGCAGTGAGGAGCATCACACATGGAATGATACTGCTCATCTCTGCCCGATACAAAGACCTGTCACCAAGCAAGGAGACATGCAGCCTGCTGAAGAACATGCTGGATATTCTGGGCCTGAAGAATGCTCAGTCGAGACAAGTAAATTGTTAGAGTGCTAGGTCACAAACTCCAGGAGAACAATAAAGACGTTGATGACTTTGGAGAGGATTTTAGGGCCTTTTGGTCTGCTCTTTCCACTCAACCAGAGGATGACGTTCCTTCTTGTTCTCCAGGCCTCCACATGATGTGCTACCTGCTACTTCAGAAATTTGTATCTTCTTACCTCTCCCAACCCCAATGAGATAAAGAAGTTCCATAATGTCAGGAAAGTATCAAGGGTCAAGAAGAAATCCTACTGATAACCATACATTAAGTGGTAACTGTCTTCATTTCAATGCCCCTTAAAGTACATACAGGGAGAAAATAAGGAGTCAGACAAGCAATCACTGGCATTAAAATTTGTCATCCCTGTTGCTGCTGGGGAAGTTTAGCAAAGGAAAAACAAAGTTAAGTCTACCAGCAAATGTAAAAGACAAACGTAAGGCACCACTTCAGTCAGGGCTAGTGAAAAGTACAACACACTTACGTCAGGAATCTTGAGGTCAGTGTACCCCTGGATAGATTTCTTTACTTGGTGGTATATTCAACAATATACAAGGATCAAGATTTTTTTCTTTTTTTTTTTTTTTAACATTTTCAGTAACAATATAAAGCAAGCCAAGGACATTCTCCAAAGAACTGTATTTACTAAAACAGGAAAAGAAGGAGGGAGGGAGGGCATCAGTCCCTCAAGTCCACAGTGAACGAGAACGGATAAATCAGTGAAATTAAAAATCTAGAGAAAATAGCTACTCTTGTAAATTATACACAAGGTACTCTCCTCCACTTAGGCAGATAAAGGGAAGACAGAAAACAGATTGCACAGAGGTTACGTCAGCTATTCGAGAAGAAAACACAAGGGGGAGTCCCTTCTTTCCCCCCAGGCCTACCGGCTGTTTTCTATAAACCACGGGCATAAAGGGGTATTTACTCTGGGCTCTAGGATACAGGGCAGACCTTTTGACCTGGCAAATCATAAACTAGCCAGCTGCTACGGTCAGTGTTTCTGCTGTTCCACGACACGCACTACCTGAGATGTCAGTGGACAGTTCTCTCAGCACAGCCTGGAGAAGCTAATACCAGTCCCGGAAATAGCCCTGAAAAGTATGTGAAATCAACAAAATTTAGATACGCCTCCTGCCCTTCCAGCTCAGTCCTCCCTACCCCACCCTCCACCATAAACATATGGGAAAGAATACAGGTTCTTTAAAAAAAAAAAAAGAAGAAGAAAGAAATCCGTTTTCTAAATAAAATGACAAAAGAGCTAAAAGGAAAGGGAATATAATTAAACTTCATTGCACCTTAAAAAAAAAAGTTCCCCATTCCCTATCAAATCTGAGCTGACAGGCATGTTATTTAATTGCCCATAAATGAGCTTCTTTAAATAGCACCTATTAATACCCCAAACTTTAGCATCAGCTTGTGCAGAGAGAGAAGAGAGGGAGAACCTTGAAATGGCTGAAAAGCAATACGAACTGTTTCCTTAAAACCACAACAGAATGTGAAATGAGGAAAAGCTGTGAGGGGAAAAACCCTCCCTACCTTCCCCCCGTGCTGAACCAGCCCTGCCTAGACCACCAACTGCAAAGTCAGAGGCTAATCCGAACTGATGTCAAGATAAAACATCTGCTTTGTCAGAACCCCCAAGTTACTGAAAGATGAAGCTCGAGACATTACTGAAACCATAATCTGTACCAAAAGAAATAATACGGGTCCAGTCAAGTGTGGCTCATGCATAATTTATTCCTGGAATCTAACACATTTCCCCCTGGATATGCTGTCAGGGTCTCAAACCCAACATAGCTAAAAGGGAATAGAATAATACCTCCTCAAACCAATTCTCCCAGGCGACTTGCCTCTTTCTGTATCACCAATTATCCTAGTCTTGAAACCAAAAAATGACTTATCTTCCTCTCCTTCAACCAACCAGTCAGTCCACTATCTGATGCTAGTAACAGCAAGCACTTATGGTGGGAAGCCAGGAGCCAGGCACGGGACCAGGCACTAGGACGTGCATCAGCTCACTTCATCCTTACACCTCACCTGCTAAGCAGACCTCATTACCCCAGACCCCACTACCCCAGAATGAGACCAAAATGCAGAGATTAAGGACTTTAAGGGGCTTGATAAAGGTCGCATAGCTACTAAGTAGTGAGATGCAAACCACACATGTCTATCTGCCTACAGAACTCATGCCCGCATATCACTCACACGGTCAAGCCTCACCGCGCCCATTTAGTTTTCCATTCCCAGTGCCACCACTCTGGTCTGGCCTCTCTCAGCTTCTATGTACACTATCAAAGTGCGCACACACACACCTGCAGCCTTCCCATGCCCTCCGCTCCAGGGTCTCTTGCCCAGAGGGGCCGCACTACGCTTCCTGAGCCCAACTTTGCTCATGACACGCTCCTCTCCTTAAACATCGTCACCGAGTCACCACTGCTCACCAAATACTACAAACTGCCTATACAAAGACTTCCAGAATCGGGCTTTGCCTCCCATTCTACTGAAAAAAAAAAAAAAAAAACAAAACAACAACAAAAATAAAAACCTCGAGACTGGAGTCTCTAGTGAAGTCAAACTCTTTGCCAATCTCCAAAAATACACTGTGCATTCCCATCTTCTGCCTCTGTATCAGCTAGCACACGGTCGCACTCACTGAAGGCCCAACTCAAAACATATCCTAGTTAGGATGCTTTCTCCCACATGGACGCAAAGCCAAAAGAGAAAAGAAGGGCTACTTCTGACGGAGTGCTTTCCTTGTGGCTGGCCCTTTTCTAAGAAAAATCAGCACAACAACCTGAGGAGATGGGTTCTCCGATCATCTCCAGTTTACAGAGAACTGAAGCCCAGCCATGGTGCACTGCTGGCAGGTGTAAAGTCAACATTCTAACCCATATGGTCGCTCCTCCTCTTAACCTCGCGGCTCTAGTAACTCTCAGAAGCGAATGTCTTGACTTTGTAATGGGTGGGCCAAGCCGATCGCCTCAAAATGCACCAAAACAGAACTCATTGCTGTGCACTTCCTGACTTGATACCATAAGAAATCCACAACCCACGGAGCACGTGGATGGTACAGCTGGTTAAGCATCTGTGGATTTCGGCTCAAGTCATGGTCTCAGGGTCATATGATCGAGTCCCGCATTGGCCTCTGCACTGGGCACAGAGTCTCTTGAGATTCAATCTCTCCCTCTCCCTTTGCCCCTCCCCCAGCCCGCCTGCAAGATCTCTAAATAAAATATTTAAAAAAAAAAATCTATAACACATGTATGAGGCATTCTCGTACCAAGAAATTAAACCTGAATCCAATCATGCCTCTGGAGCAGGGCTCCTCCAACTTCAGTATACACACAAATCCCCTGCGGACCTGGTTAAGTGCCCATTCTGACTCAGCAGGTGTGGGGTAGGGCCCGAGATGCTGCATTTCTGATCCATTCCCAGGAGTAACTGTGTTGCGGGGCCACAGTGCACACTTCAGATAGCAAAGCTCTAGCATCTGGGTCTGATCACCAGTTTCCAAGACACAGGAACAGATTAAACAACTCAGGCCCAGGTTACAGTGAGGAGAGGGATGCATCTGCCTCAGGTGCAAAATTTAGGCCAAAAAAACACAATGGGGACAAATATTTTAATACAATAATTTTAAAAATCATATGAATGCAAAGACCCACAATGAACAAAACATCACAGTTTTAACTGAGAGAGAACCAGGAGCACTGATTTTTCTTCTCGCCTCGGGCTATAGGACTCTGCACAGCACTGACCAGTGTAAGTTATCCACCAAATCTTGAATATGAGAAATTCTCCAGGGCAAATGCTATAAATACTATGGAAGAAGGAAGGGGTTAGAGTTTGTGAGGCTTAAGAAACAGGCACTAAATGCAATGTGTGAAAATTTGTTTTGATACTGATTTGAACAAAACCATAAAACAAAGAATCTAGGGATAATAGGTAAAAATATAAACAGGCTGTATATCAGAGGACATGAAAGACTTAATTTTGTTAGGTTCATCATAATGGCAAGATTTTTTTTAAGTCCTTACTTATTAAAGTACTGAAGTATAAATGATATAAGCTAGAATTTCTGGCATCTATGTAAAATATTCCAGCAAAAAAAAAAAGTAGAGAAATGAAATGAGATTAGTAAAATGCTGATATTTATTCAAGCTGGGTGATGACACATGGGGATTGATTATCCTCTTCTAATTTTTATATGATTAAAATTTCCATAATTAAAAAAAACGTAACAGTAATCCTTTTTTTCCTTAGTCACCCCTAACATTCACTTCGTACCCTCACACAGGACATAGCCCAGAGTGCCTCACACATCTGTAATAAAAGTAACCGCTTTTTAAAATCTGTGCCAGGAGCTGTGAATGTATGTCCTAAGTGTCCCAGTAATGCTGCCGGATACTATATGCACGAATAAAGTGGAGTTTAACAAACTCTGGCCAAAGTCGCACATGTAGCAAGTGACAAACAGAAAGCTCGGACCCAGACTGGCGTGGCTCAGAAGCCCAGATTTGAAGCATTACCTTCTAATACCTGCCTTATGCCCTATGGGGCTTATGGCAGAAGACAACCTCAGCTTACGGTTCTTCATTGTTCTCATGCTCCCTTAGACCCAGAAGCCATTGCAAGCGGTTAACATGAGGACCACCTGGTTTGGAATCACTGCTCTAATACTTACTAGCTGTGTGACCTTAGGGAAATCACTTAATCTTGCTGTCCCTCAGTTTCTTCATCTGTACAGGGCTATTAATCTCACACCGGTATGAGATTAATAACCATCTCAAAGCTGCTCGGAAGATAAAATGAGTTAATAAACATAAAGTGCTTAGAATTGTGTCTGGTATGTGACAAGCACCGATTAAGTGTTAATGATTATTATCATTACTAAGTTCTCAATAAAACTGAATGACACTGAAAATACACAACCACCCCCCACCCCAGGCCAACTTACAACCACTTATTTTTACTTCTTCTAAGGAATTTTTGGCCACAGACCTTGAAAGGTGGGTTCCCACCCAACTTATGAAAGTCAATGTATAATAACCAAGATGAGTGTTTCTATATTCAGCGGGGGCGGGGGAAACTCCAATATTAATAAAAACCTAGGAACACGTGACCCAAGATCATCACTATAGCATCGGATTTGCTTTCCAAGTTTCACATTGAAGGATTCATAGTGGCTATGGGATTTTAAAATCTCCAAGGACCAAGAACTCTGGCCGGGAAGCTAGACGCCCCACAGAAATCCACAGGAGGGAGCTAGGGGTTACAGGCCAAGGTGGGGGGCAGACCCAGCACCAGAGCATGGAGCCAAAGGACTCAGTTGAATGCCGGGAGCCAGAACGGAGCAAGAGCGGGGCTACCGTTAACTGAGGCAAGAGTCTTTGTTGAGATGCTGTGCCAAGACTCACCCACCAAAATCACTAGGAGAGAAACCAGAGCCAGGATAAGCAAAGACAAGCTCCCCAGGGAAAGGAACAATCTGAGCTTCAATCAGATGCAGAAGGGCGCAGACCAAGCTAGCTGGAACTGCTTCGCCCTGCCTCTCTTGTGGTTCCCTTCTGTCTTCAAACTGCACCCTCCAAACTGTCTTGTCACACATGTAGGGTAAAATAAATAAGGCTGAGATGTTACTGGACCGTCTGGCAGATCTTCTTCGCTTCCTTTCCTCACTCGTGGTCTCTCAAATCATTCCCTGCGCAGTTACCGGAAGTAATTCATTTTAACTCTCAAAGTACTGGACATATAGTACGTCAAATTTACTCACAATTGCTAGCATTTATTGAGCCCTTAGGTCTATCAGGACTATGCTAAGAACTTTGCCGTTACCCACGTGATCCTTCAATAACCGGTGCGGTGCCGCCGTCAGCCCTCTCTGCAGGGCGGGGGAGCGCTAAGGCCCAGGCAGGGGCGGTCACGCCGCCAGGACCTATCAGTTCTGTCTGACTCGAGAGACAACTTTAGACTCCACCACCTCCTGTCTCTTTTCTCCTGCACTTTCTATTAGCAGATTCCTCGCCACTAAAAGGGTGAGAAACAAGGGAGGACGACCGCAGGTAACTTGGCATGGTGAACTGAAGGACTGGGAACGTCATCCCCCCAGGGGGCCCAGAAAGCTTGAGGAGAGCAGTTGAAGAGGAACGAGCAATACTTAGATTCTCTTTACTTCGGCCACCAGGGTCATTTCCTCCTCTTCAGTTGCCCTTATGGAGTCCTGAGAGCAGTCCCTGCTGCTCCTGCCGACGCCTGCGACCAGCTGCAGGGAAAGGAGGCAGAGGGAAAAGCATCACAGGTTTTTTTTTCCCTTGAACGTGAAGGGAAGGGAGGGAAAAAAAAGGAAAGGAATTCCCAAGGGAGAAGAAAACTTACAGTAACAGTGGAAAAGAGCCTGCAAATAAATAATACCTGGGTCAAAAGACAAATTCAAGGCAGCAGCCAAAAATGGGGTGGCTAAAAATAAATACGTGTAACCTCTTCCAATTCTGTGGCAGAAAAAAACTTTTCCTTAGAAAAACCACGACCCTTATTAAAATCTTAAAATAAATGTGAAAATACAGGGAATTGTTATTATTCTCATGTGAATCCTACATCAGGAGATACTATTTTCCTTCCAAAAAGAAAAAAGTCAAATGCACATAATAAAACAATTTGTTTTTTAAAATGTATAATGTAAGATATTATATTCACCCGTCTTCGAAATAAAAAAGAACTTAAAATTCTCTAAGATATTAGCAATTATTATACGCTTATGTATATACTGTAGATACTGTAGATGTAGATACTGCTGAGCAACATAAAGGAATGAACTACGGATAAATCCAACAGCACATTGAATCTCAAAGCCACTGTGCAGAGAGGAAGAAGCCTTTCAAAAAAGAAGGCATATGGGGTGCCTGGGTGGCTCGGTTGGTTAAGTGTCTGCCTTTGACTCAGGTCATGATCTCAGGGTTCTGAGACCGCACGCATGAAAATAACCAACCCAGACCCAGGTAAAGAGTAATTATTCAACACATTGTTGAATAGCTGTTGCTTTTCTTTCCTCTTCCATCAAATAATGCCACCCTTAGGACACATTTTTTGAGTTACCGGCCAGGTAAAGAAGAGTAGAAGTGTTTGGGAGGTGGGAAGAACACATGCAAAGGGAAAGAGAAGGATAACAGAGCAGGCCTTCTTTTAGAGACTTCGGGAACACAGGTCAAGCTGATAGGCAATGGAGGTGGGAGGGGAAGGGACCAGGAAAAGACTAGAGAGGAAGACCAAATCACAAAGGGCCTCTATGCCAGACTGAAGAATTGGGTCTTTGTCCTCTAGACCCTGGAGCGTCATTTACAGGTCATCTGCAGAAGGAGGCTATGATCTGAGTTCTCTTTTGGAAAGAATATTTTGATGGCTGGTCACATGATATAACCCCAGGACCGCTATTTGCAGACAATGTCAAGAGAAGCAAGACAAGGACCTTTATGATACCCTTATGATACTGTACTTGAAAATAGCAGTGTGGTTATGATCACCTCAGCCAGGTGTGGAAAGAGCATATCAGAACCTAGGAGAGTCCAACGTCAAAGAGATGAGCAGATTGAAAAATCACCTCCAGGTAGCTAAAAAAACATAGAGTCAAGAAGAATCAATGTGACAGAAATGGATTGAAAAGTATCCACTGAACTTGACAACCAAGAAGCTATTAATGACCTTGACAACAGTAGGTTCAATCAAATGATGAAACAGAAATCAAATTTTACTAAGCTTATTCTTATGTGAAGGTAGAGACTGCAGAGGTGGCGTACGCTTTCAAGAATGGCAAAAATGGAAGAAGAGACACAGGGCAGTGAATAAATGGAAATACAAAGTTGAGAGAGGACATGTTCAAGCCACAAGGAGTCTGACAAGTAGGAGGGAAAAGCAGGAAGGGTGAGATTAAAGATAAAGTGAGGGAGGGGCTAACCACTGAGAGAACAGGATTTAGATCAGCACTGGAGGTACTGGCCTCCGGCAGGAGGATGGTGACCTTGCCCAATGAGACAGAAAGGAAGATTATACATGTGTGTGCAGGGCGTGGGGAAGAAAGAATGTCTGAGACCTGGAGGAAAGGTAGCTGGCTGGGGAAGAAGAGTTGGGGAGAGTGTTCCAGGAGGGTTCCATGTGTAAAGACCCTCCAAGGAACCCTGAAATAGAACTTCATGGAAAGAGACTTCTTCCACAGTGTGACCTGATAATTCTACACACTAAAGTGTAGATGTGGCGAGGCTGGAGACGTATACACTTGGGGCCAAGTCATGTAAAGTTGAGTCTAAAAGCAACAGCAGTCCTCACTTCTTTTTTTTTTTTTTTTTTTTTTTTTTTTAAAGCAGTCCTCACTCCTTAAAAGATGACTCTGGCAGGGTGGGGAAATTAGATAAGAAACAGGCAAGAGCACCTGTGAGGAGAGAACAGTTAGGATACATTTAATACGAATCCAGGCCAGGGATGACATTTCGGTGGTGGTGACAGTACAGCAGCCAAAAAGAAAATTGAACACATTCGGAGATGTAGAAGAGGCTTAGAACGCATGGCCTGAATGTGGGAAAGGAGGAGCAAGGACAATCACGGGGGGACGTTCACGTTCTAGTTTGGGAAGCCAGAAAATGGTCAGTGGTACTGATCACTGAGAAGGGTGGGGGTGGCAAGAAAGTCCTGATTTCCAAGTCGCTGAGCTTAAGGCACTGGTGAAGCAGGCAAGTAGATAAGTAAGCGACTGAACACAGATGTAGGTCTGGAGCTCCGAAGAGGTCAAAATGGTAATGAACCTGGGATTTGCCTACTACAGCTGGAAACTGCAGGCACTGTGAGGAGAGATTACAGAGGGAGAGGACATAGTGTGAGAAGATGGCCTGTGGCAGAGTCCTCGAGAACCACTTCCCTCATGCATGAGTGGAAGGGAAGGGCACGCCAAGAGAGCAAGAGAGCGACAAACACCCACACATCAAGGAGGAAGAACAGGAGCCCGTGAAAAAAAGTACTTCCAGGATAGTCAACTGTGTCTGGAGCTGGGCTATTAAAAAGAATGGGGAATAAAACTGGTGAGAATAATTCTAACAAAGACTGGATAGGAGAGAGAAGGAGTAAGAGGTTGGGAAACGGACAAAACCAATTCGAATGGCTTAACTGTAAAGAAGGAATGAGAGATCAAGAAGGCTGGGAGGACGTGTGAAACGTGCAGCTGAGAAGTGTGTGATGTGTTGGATCGAGAAATTAGGATCGGAAAAAAGTGAAGAAAGTAAGAGAAGAGTGACAGATTAGGACGGAACTGGAGGAGGGCCCAAGGGACAGGAAGTATTGGTGACACTGGAAAAGGGAACTGAGGTTAGGAAACGAATAATGGCAGACTGAAATGAGGGACTGGGACACCAGAGCTCCAGATTTCAGGAGCGGAACAGGGGCAAGTGACAATAAGGTCCTCAGCCCCCAAGGGCAGAGGAAGTGGCAAGCGTGTGAAGTGGCAGTGAAAGTCCTAGGAGTGGATGAAGCCAGGGAACGTGAAGGATAGGCTGCTACACAGGTCATCCGCAGGTGGCCTCAGAGCACTCGGCAAGACAACAAGACAGAGGGGAAAGGACGCTGGTAAACCAGGCACTGACGCCTAGAGCTGAGGAGATCCCAGGAAGCTGGGGCGGGCGGGGGGGGTTCACAGTCATATGACACAGCCAGACACGAGCCTCAGAGGAAAGGAGATGTTTATAAGAAGATGGAAGACTGATGGTTTGGAATAGCTACTGAGGAGCTAAAAGAATGCTAACCCCCGCCGACAACCCGCTTGATGGGGCAAGGCAGCTGGTATTCAAGAGAGCTGCAGGTTAAGATTCTTCTCAGGGAAGAAACTAGAATATAATAAAAGAAGATATGCGAAGACTATCATGTGGTAATGCTGGGAACATACAGATAAAGGAGAAAAGATAATAAAAAAAAAAAAAAGTATCTGAACATAGCCAAAGGCCACATATGGAAAACCTATACTCAACAGTGAAAAACAAAGCTTCTTAAAGATCAGGAACAAGGCAAAGATCTCGCCACTCCTGGTCAACCTGGTTTTGAAAGTCCTAGCCAGAGCAATTAGGCAAGACAAAGAAATCAAAGCATCTAAATTGGAAAAGAATAGAAATTATCTGTTTGCAGATGACCTCTAAAGATTTCACACAACAAACCACTGGAACAAATTTAGCAAAGTTGCAGGATACAAAAATCAGCACATAAAAATCCATTATTTTTATACCCTCACAATGAACAATCCAAAAAAGGAAATTAGGAAAATAATCCCATTTACAATAGCACCAAAATATAAAATATTTTGGAATAAACTTAACCAAGAAGGTGAAGGACTTGTACACTATAAATCACTGCTGAAAAAATGTAGACACACCAATAAATGCATATTTGTGGACTGGAAGACTTAATATCACAAAAATGTCCATACTACCCCAAATGAGCCACGGATTTAACACAATCCCTATCGAAATCTGTGGCATGTTTTGCAGAAATAGAAAAAAAAAATCCTAAATTCATATGGAACACAAGGGACCCCAACTAGCCAAAATAATCTTGAAAAGGAACCAAATTGGAGGCCTCATAATTCCTAATATCCAAAACATATTACAAAGCTTAAAAGCTGGTGGTGTTGGCACAAACATACAGACCAAAAGAACAGAGAACAAGTGAGTAAATAAACAAATACATTTATGATCAACTGATGCTAGACAAGGACACCAAAACAACGTAATGGGGAAAGGGCCAAAACAGATTAAAGACCTAAATATAAGACCTAAAACTATAAAACCCCCAGAAGAAAACACAGGGGAAAGCTTCGTAACATTGGATTTGGCAGTGATTTCTTAGGACACCAAAAATAAAGGCAACAAAAATAGAAATAGACAAATGGAATTACATCAAACTTAAAAGCTTCTGGGCATCAAAGGACCCCATCAACAGAGTGAAAAGGCAACCTATGGAACAGGAGAAAAATCTCTGCAAATCACGTATCTCAGAATGGGCTAAAGAAGCCCTACAATTTAACAACAACAACAACAACAAAAAAAAAACAGAGAACGTGATTTTTAAAGACAGGCAAAGGATCTGAACAGTCATTTCTCCAAAGATAAACAAATGGTGTCTAAACCTTTGAAAAGATGCACACTATTACTAATCATTAGGGAAATGCAAATCAAAATCAGAAGATGCTGTATTGTGCCCATTAGGATGGCCACTATCAAAACAAAAACAAAGTAACAAGTGTTGGGAAGGATGTGGAGAAACTGGAAGCCTCCTGCCGTTGGTGGGATTGTAAAATGGTGCAGCCACTATGGAAAAGTGTAGGGCTTTCTCAAAAAATTAGAGCCACCCTGTGACCCAGCAATCCCACTTCAGACTATATACCCAAAAGAACTGACAACAAGATCTGGGAGACATAACTATACACCCAAACTCACTGTAGCAGCATTACTCACAATAGCCAAGAGATGGAAGCAACCCAAACGTTCATCAACAATGAACGGATAGAGAAAATGTGGTTATATCCATGCATAGAACAAAATAGGATCCAGTCTTTAAAAAGAAGGAAGTCCTGCAATGTTAATGAACCGCAAGAACATCATGCTAAGTAAAAGAAGCCTGTCACCGAACACAAACACTGTATGATACCACTTATCCGAGGTACCTGAGATAGTAAAACTGAAAGAAACAGAAAGTGTAATGGTGCTTGCCAGGGGCTGGGGGTGGGGAAAGGAAATGGGGAGTTGTGTTTAATAGGTAGAGAGTTTCAGTTTTGTAAGATGAAAAAATTCTAGAGCTCTGTTGCACAATAATGTGCATCTACTTAACACTACTGACTGCACACTTAAAACCGGCTAAGGTGACAAATCATGGGCTTTCTACTACAATTTTAAAACAAAAAGACCACATAGTACTACAGAATACAGGAGAAAAGTTTGAGAAAAGGAAAAGCAACAGAACAATAGGGCTTGCATCCTGAACACACCCTTGATTGTCAAAGGTGGAAACTGAGCAAAATGAGGCCTCCAGACTCCAACGGCATTTTGGTTCAAGCGGTTTAAGAGCTAACTAATTACTAGGGTATCTACAAGACATCCTGGACAGGGTACATGGATACTGCCTCAAATCTTCACCTAGTAGCAGAAACGGCAGTGATCATCAGGGATCATTTCCTGCTTGCATGAGCTGTGGCATGGACTGGGGGCTTCTGCAAAGGGAATCCTATTTCCCATGAGGCAGGAGGTGTAAGGACTCAAGGATGGTTAGAAAAGGGAGAAAAGGCACACATTATGTTTCATTTTCCATTTGTCAAAACATTTCTTCCACCTATTTTTTTAAAATGTATTACAAATTTTAAGCTTCTCAAGTCTGTCCTTTACATGCTAGCTAATGGAATTCAAGCACTGAGCCTTGAGAATACTTGGGGGGGGGGGGGATCTGTTCCCTTTAATCTACAGCTGCCAAAAAACTCGACACCGTGGTGCATCCTAAGATTATCTCTGACCCATGCAAAGGTGAACTGAGACAGTTTACAGAAGTATCAGTATGAATCTCCCTTCCACTGTGGAGACTTCTTTACAAAAGCTGTTTTCTGTTTAACAAAGCAGTCATTTAAGACACCTAGATGGATTACAGAGTGTTGTTAAAGACTTGAGATGTCACCTTTAATCCCCAAAAGACGAAAATTTAATTGGTTCTCATAATTATTTATATAATTTTACACAAAAACTTTCTTTAAATCTTATTACCATGTTAAACCAGAAGGGAGATCTGGCACTTTCTTCCCCCTTCATACTTAGAGGCTAATAAAACCCATGGCTGTTGAATTCCTTATTCAAACAAAAGGTGTGAAAGTTTTTGTCTCATTTCTATTAACCTAGGCTAATGGGATAAATGTTGGAAAAGCCACAGGGGCTGAAGCGAACGGATTCACTCAGGGTCTAACAGCACCAGTGGTAACAGATCAAGAGACAGTAGTAAGAAACTGAAAGAATAAAATCACAAAGAGACACAGGAGGTCAATCCCTGTCTACTAAGAGTCTGGGAGGGGACTTCCCTCTCAATTTCCTCAGCTTCCCATCTCACTACTATATATCTACTGTCACCCAGTGTTAAAGACACCGCACCGCTGTAGTTACAGTTTTCCAGAACTATTTATAAGAAGCCCTTGTCTTTATGGCTTTAACACTTAATTTTCTTTTACACCACAATGTGCTACAGAGACAAGATTTTGACCGTAGGTCCTTTTATTGGTGGGTGGTTTTGTTGTTGGAGGTGAAGGTGGGGTGGGGCTGTTACTTACCAGTGTTTTCCATACAGCCAATGGCCTCCCCATGTCAGCAGGCAGATCCCAGCTGTTGTTTTCTTCCAATGATTTCTAAGTGTTTTAAAGAACACGGTCATCTTCTCCTAAGGATTTGCTATATTAACAGAGGCAGAAAAAGAAAAAGTAAGTACCCCAGCTCACTGTGTAGAGGCCCCCTAACTGCCTTCCATGCACCTTTCTTCCCTCATTCCTACTCCTTCTTAACCCTTCTCTGGTCTCTTCCCATCTGCTCCCTTCCAGTCTTCCATCAACTTCATCTTCTCACTGCCCATCTGTCTTTCTTCTTTCTTTCCTCACTTGTTTCCACCTAAACTCACTGCTTCCCTCTCTGCTCACCTGAACCTCACATATTCAAAGCAAGCAGAGAAGTACAGAGAAGCAAATTCCAGGCTTCCCGCTTTTTCTTTCTCCCTACAGTCACTATACCACTATTAAAGAGTATTTGTCTATTACATATAAAGGACTCAACAATAAGTACTATGAAGGGCTTATTCAAAATAAAGGAAAACACTAGCCCCTCAAAAGGAAAATAAGCAGAGAACATGCACAGAAAATTCACAGGGCAAATGCAAATGGCTGTGTGAAAATGTTCAACTTCTAGTTAATTGAAAACATGCAAATTACACAAAATTAGTACCATTCACCTCTAAAACTAATAAATGTTTACATGGTCATATTCACTGATGACAAAATAAAAGAAGATAGACACACTCACGTACTCCTGTAAGCAAAGTAAATTCACACAACTTTACTAAAAAACCAAGTGACAATATAGATCCTTACTCTGTTTTGCTTTTTCACAGCACTTATCATTTGATGATCCTTATTTGCTAATTTGCTTATGAGCTCATCGCACTGAAATGTCAACTCTGTAAGAGGAAGGACTTTGTTCTGGTCACTGCTATATCCCCAGTGCTTAAAATAAGATACAGCACATAATAGTCATTCAACAGCTAACTGGTGAATGTCACAGGGTTCAGGACATACTACCCCAAAATGTGGCAACTTAGCATATTGAATATTTTAAGCTAAGGAAGTCTGAGAAAATGACAGAAACAGGAAGGTCATTCTGACCTCCTCACCTGACCCTTCTTCCCTGAAACCGGTCATAAAACCCTCATCTATGAAATACACTCCCTAAACCCAGAAGAAAGGAACACCATCTCTGAAGACAAAGGATGCCAAGAAGAATCCTAACAAACAGGCCTTCCTAAATCTCCCATTTACTTTGATTTCCTCATACTCAACCTAACATATTCCTTCACAACTGTCCACCCTTCAACAAACCTAACTTTCAATCCACCAACCATCAGCCTGCTCCTTGGCTATAAACCTCACTTGCCCACTTGTAGGAGGTGAGAGGAGAAACCAAGCCAGAGCTGTACTTGGGCAACTAATTGAATAAAGTTTTCAATCATTAGATTTGTAGTACACGTTTGTGTAGAAAGGTGGCGTGTGCTGTTGAGAGAGTGAGTTTGAGATGCCCGGAGGATATCCAAGTTGATATTCAAATGATCAGTGGAGGTCTGGATCTAGCAGTCTGAAGCTGGGAGAAACGAGGTAGAAGATACAGATTTGGGACTCGTCAGTGTGAAGGTGGTCAAGTTTGAGTGCAGATAAAAATCACTCAAGGCAAGGGTAGAAAGAAGGGAAAACACCAATACTGTTAGAGAACAATCTGAGAGTTGATAAACGTCTGTTTTCATCCATGATTATCCACCCGTGATCCAGTGGAACTCCCTTTTGGTCACAAAATAGTGACCAAAAACATGGAAACATGCATAAAAACATGGAAACATGCAGGCAATCTAGTGTAGTGAAACGAGCAGTGGTGCAAGGGTCCTGAGGCCTGGATTCCAGAGTCACTTTATGACAGTGAGAGCATGGGTAAGTCACTTAGCCTCTACCCGTCTTTCCCTGTTAGTCAAATGAGAACACAGCACCTGCTCTGATTAACTGAGCGGGCTGTAAAAATCACCTCTGATGGGGCTGCAAATGCACATGACTCATTAGTAAAAAATGAGAATACTACACCTATCTGATTAAGTCATTTGGCTAAAAAGATCACGTATGAAAGAACGGTGAATGCACTTTGTAAAATTTTCTGCATTTAAGTTGTCACGGCAATTGTGCAATATATGAGCCAAGAATGCATATTCCTTCTAAAGCACCCAAGAGAATTCGTATTCCTCGATCTGAGTTAAAGTCTAAATTTTATATGTTCAAATTAACATCTCTCCTCTGTAAAGCAGGTTGACCAGCTGGTTGTTTTTTCCCGTTGTTTGTTTGTAACAACGCCCAAATTCTAATTGTACTGGGGCCCCCTCACCAGGACGGTGGGGATTTTCTCACTAGACGGCGAACCCCTCCCGGGTAGGCGCGGTCTAGGCATCTCTAGCAAACACAACCTAGAAAAGCACCAGGAATGAATGAAGCCGTCAATCGATCAGAAATGATTCTCCCCGTTTTGCAAATGAGTAAGCCGAAGCCCAAAGGGGAAGAAGAGTGAGTAAGGGTCACACAGGGCAGCGACAGCTCTGGTACCAGAACCCAGACCAGCTGACCCGCGGAGTGACACCCCGGACCCCGCCATCCCTCGGGGCCCCGGCTCCCATCCTCTCCCCGACGGCTCCCGCCGCCCGCACGCCCGGCCCCCGCCGCCGCCGCGCCCCCGGCAGGCTCCCGCAGCTCCGTCCCGCACCCCGGAACCCTCCGCCCGGCCCGGTGCTCGCGACCCGCTCTCCGCCCCCCGCCGCCGCCCCCCGCCACTCACCCGGGCCGCTCCCGCTCAACGCCCTGCCTTCCTGTGCTCTCCCTCAAGCTTCCGCCGCGCTTTTACGGGAAACCGCGCCGCCGCGCTGGGGTTCCGCTGCGCTTCCCGACGCGCGGGGACGGCGCTGCGTGCGGGGGCCGCCGCCTGGGGGCCCGCCTGCATTTTTCCTCCGCGCCTTGATTCTTCCGTGCGTCCCTTCACCCGTCCGGGTGTCGCTCCGCAGTGTTTGATCGGGAGCCACCACGGCAAACACTGCTTTAGGACCGGCTCTAACGCGGACCGTGAATGAACGGGGCAACTTTAGATCCTAAGTGCGAGACAAACACACAACGAACGGCGTGATCTGAAGGGAGTGGGTGGGAGAGAACTACTCTAAATCGGGCGGCCTGAGTTAGCCTTTCTGAGCCGGGGGCAACTGATGGGAAGGAGAGGGAGCAGGGCTAGCAAAGACCGGGGGGGAAAGGAGCGCCTGGGGGAGGGAACAGCCGGTGCAAAAGCTCTAAAGCCTGGGGCAGTTTGGCAGGTGGGGGCCAGGGTGGGCGAGGCCAAGGAGTCAGCCGGGCCAGGACGCTGGGGAGGTGGGCCGGGGGTCGCGGTCGCAAGGAGTTTGCCGGTTAAACGGAAGGAGAGGGAAAGGAGTGAGGGGATTAAGCCAGGGGAATGATGTGATCTGGTTTACTTTACATTTCTCCATGGCCACGTGTAGTGAGTAAATCCCGGAGGCAAGAGAGCTACAGAGAGGCCAGGGCCCACGCTGACCACCGGGAAGCAGCTCTAATTCCTCGTCCTCCCACCAGCGCCTGGCCCCTCCCCCACCCCTACATTAGTATTGGGACTAAACCGGTCAATCCACGTTTCTTTCTTACCTTCTTCCTTCCGTCAACCAGCTTTGCCGAGTGTGGAGTACGGCCCTGGGGATGCGCTCATGGACCACACCCCGCATGGTTCCTGCCTCCGTAGAGCTTGAATTCTAAGTTCCCCGTTTGCTACATATAGACATGAGTCCTTTCTGTCTTCCACTCCATGTACGCGTTAGGAACCATGAGAACATCCAGCGAGGTTTTGGCGAAATAAATCATACTCTGCCAGCTTCTCATCCTCACTGGGCCACACTAGATCATGGGAACTTGCTATGCCCTCTCTCCCGAGGCTCTGTCAGTAAATTAGGGAAGTGAGAAGATCATCATGAAACCCATCTTGTAGCTGTAAAATGTGATGTTGAAGGTATGGGAGATAGTTATTTTCGCTTCTCTTTTCCCAACCTCTTAGAACATTTGCTTTAAAATGAGTTGCTGAACTGCATCCCTGTAAGGCTAGAAAAATCTGGGACTAAGGCGGGATGGTCCAATGGGCAGACTGAGCTTTAGGGCTTCAACAAAACAGTGGTTTCCAAAAATGAGAAAAGTTCTGCTTGGAGGCACATACCATGATTTTCGGGTCAGAAAATCTAGAACGAAGTTTTTTTCTTAAAACTTGGGAGAGGAAAACTTGATTTTGAGTTGGAACCATATACTGTTGGAAAGATCAGGCATCACGAGGCAGATGCCCAGAAAGCCTGTGAAGAAGGGTGGCAGGTGTCTGCCACCTGGGAGAAAACTACACCCCTGGAGAAAAGCAGCCCCTCCAAGGAGGCCAAACACAGATATGCATAGCATCGAAGGCCTCACTCAAGAACATCCCTAATTGAAAAGTGTTCCCAGGGCCACACGGGAATATTTGTTAGTTTACATTCTTTCTTTAATATGAAGCCTTCAATTCACTGTGGCCAGTACAGGGGTGAATGGGGATGGTGATGTCAGCCTTTTGTGTTCCCAGCAGAGAAATCTGGAAACAACTCCCAGGTTTCTTCATGGATAATGAAATTAGAAAAGATGAGACATCTCCATGGAGTAAAAACCTCAGAATTACCCATGCAAAAGAAGAGGGGAGCAGTGGTGAGGGGCATGGTAGGTCTCTGAAAAAGAACTTATGTTCTCTCCTATATTGCATGTTTGTATAGATAGAAACAGGGGGAGCCTATGACTCAGATATGTCACCAGCAAATGGGAAATATCTGCATCAAAATAGGACTAAGTCATAAATTAGTCATAAATTCATCTTCCAGGAGTTAACTGTACCCATTACAGGACATGTATTTACTGACATTTTAATGCATTGTTGTAGTATCCCATTTAATTTTGAAGTTACATAACTCATGATACTAATATTTTCCCTGTAGTAAGACTACTATTGGCCCCTCAGTGAAGCTAACAATTGTCCCCTCAAATCATTTCTGGAGGGACATTGTCCCCTCACTCCCATCCTATAAGGGATTATAGTGAAAGCCACATCTTAAGCATGTGGTTTGTAAATGTGTAAGGACAGGACACAAATGATGCTGAAACATGGAAATTTCTCAAATGCTCTTCTCAGGCATCATTACCAGCACTGAGTGTTGGACATGGAGATGTAACACCTGTTGTCCCAGCTGCTGGAGGTGGTTTGGGCAGACAGCCTTCAGCTGTCGGCCCCTCCAGGGACAGCTTCCAATGTGGTGAACCATCTTCACCAATGTCACTCCCTTCTGGAGGTGGCCCACATCCAGTGACTGATCTAGGAGCGAATTCAAAAGTTTGGCCACTTGGCCCAAAGCCAAACATCTCTGAGAGCCCCATAGCTCCTCACGGGGTCAGCTGAGGCTGTCTCAGACACAACCCAGCTCAGCTTCTCCCTCTGCCCAAGCTTGTGTCCTTCAACAAAAGAGTTGATGCTGAACATTGAACACTGTAGTAGAGAGAATAATGACCCCCCAAAGATGTCCTTAACCCCTGGAATCTACTAATACTTTGCATGGGTAATTAAATTAAGGTTCTTGAGATGGGAGGATTATCCTGGATTATTCAGGTGGGTCCAATGTAATCACAAAGGTCCTTTTAAGAAGGAGACCTGAAATCAGAGTGGCGGGCAGTAAATGTGAAAATGGCAAATAATTGATAGGTTTTTGGATAATATTTCTATACTGCCAAGGAGTGGGATTACATCAATTTAAGATATGCACAGTAATTCCTCCTCCAGTGCCAGTGATTGGATCAAAAATTGAGCATGTAGCTCCGTTTAGACCAAAGGGTCTTAAGGACGAGTCTGCTGAGAGATCTCAGGAAAGGTTTCATTCTCCTTAAAAGGGGGGATTCAAGGAAGAGATGCTGATGAGCCTTATAAACGTTATGGTCATTACACTCAGTGAAATAAGGCAGTCACAAAAGACCACATACTATATGATTCTAAATCCACGAAACATCCAGAATTAGCAGATACGTAGAGCTGGAGAGTGGAGTAGAGGCTACCCAGGGCTGGGCTTAGGGGTGGTTGGGGAGAAATGGAAAGTGATTGCTAATGGATATGAGATTTCTTTTTGGGATGCAATGTGCGACAGTTGGTTGTGGTGACGGCTTCAGGACTCTAGGAGTACAGTAAGGGGACAATCACATGGTATGGGATGACTTTCTTCCTCAGAGAAGAGATGGTCTTTCTTCCTCAGACAAGATCAGACGCATGCATAATACCTAAAATTGCTGAGGTGGAGAAGCTGAAGGGACTCCCTCTTAGAAAGGCTCTGTCTAGGGGCACCTGAGTAGTTCCATTGGTTAAGCATCCAACGCTTGATTTTGGCTCAGGTCAGGATCTCAGAGTTGTGGGATTGAACCCAGCATGGGGCTCCGTGCTAGGTGTGGAACCTGCTTGAGATCGTCTCACTCCCTCTCCCTCTGCCCCTCCCCCAGCTGGCGCACTCTCTCTCCCTCGCTACAAAAACAAAAGAAGGGCACCTGGGTGGCTCAGTCGTTAAGTGTCTGCCTTCCACTCAGGTCATGATCCCAGGGTCCTGGGATTGAGCCCCACATCGAGCCCCACATCGGGCTCCTTGCTCAGCGGGAAGCCTGCTTCTCCCTCCCCCACTCCCCCAGTTTGTGTTCCCTCTGTGTCAAATAAATAAATAAATATCTAAAAAAAGAAAAGAAAGTCTCCATCTCTGCTGTTTTTCTGCTAAGAAAACTCATGTTCTATATTTGCTTCTGAGCAAGCCAAAGAAGTAATGTTCCCACTTCAAGGAGGAAACAAGAAAGTTAACCGTTCTCTAGTTCTGCCCTAGGCCCCAAACACCTGATACACTTAAGAAGAGCCAGTTCCTGCCCACGTTCCAGGACATTAGCCTCAGACAAACCTCGCTGATGCCGGCATCAATACCCCTACCTTTGGTAATTTATAACACCTGTCATTCACCTGTCCCCTGCCTTTGATCAGACCCTACCCTGGATTCCTATGGGAATGTGTACCCTAGACCCCTTTGCAGTATAAACCCCTAATCCCAAGCGATGACAAGACTCATTCTCCTTTGCTTTCTGAGTCTCCCAGTCACTCTGTCTGTCCTTTACCTGTCACTCACACTCTTCAGTAAACTCAGTTTTCACTTTCTCCAGCTTGCGTTTGAATTCTAACCTGTGTGAAGCCTTGGCTGGTCCTTCAGGACCCTCCTTGGGGTGCTCAGACCCAGCCTGACCGCGTCACTGCCACAACCCGTGTTCAGCCATGACGGAAACCAGTTTGGGCCAATGCCAACTCACAGAGGATGGGAGGGGAAAGAGAGAAAGAACCTGGGTCCTCAAGGACATCATTGAGTCACATGGTTGTACTGTGCCTGGAGCTTGCTCAAACTCTGGACATCCTATTACAGGAAATAATTCCTTTATTATTATTATATTCCTTTATATAATATATATTATATTCCTTATATAATATATATTATATTCCTTATATAATATATAATTATATTCCTTTGTGTAGTATATATTATATTCCTTTATATAATGTATATTACTATATTCCTTTGTGTAACATATTATTATATTCCTTTATATAATATATATTATTTTATCCTTTATATAATATATAATAATATTATTATTATATTCCTTTAACTGTGCATAAGTCAGTTAAGAGTCAGGGATTTCTGTTTCTTGATGCCAAGAGCACTGAACTGATCTACTGCCAGCCGCAGGCTATGGGTGGGTAGAAGACATAGTAGGGACAGTATTTTTAAAAAGATGTTACGTCTTTATGAGGAATACAGGTGAAAGTAAATGGCAGATACTACTGGTATCAATGGTATGTCTTACCTTTTATTGTTCCTGAAATCACTCTCCAGCCATTCCCCTGGACCCGTGCTATGTTTGCTGTGGACAGATTCACTAACATGAAAAGAGTTAAAGATTCAGAAAAACTGTTATAATGCTCGTCCCTACATATAATAGCCTTATACGTAGCATCTCAGAAGAAATCTGCCTGCGGGAATAGGTACTCCCCAGTCAGAACTTCTATCATAGAAAATTATGTATGAATTCTTTTAACATTCATTTCTGGTTTGTTTACTTATTTTATGCCTACAGACTCCTCTTCAGACTACTCTGTTTCCCCTAGGAAAAAGTACAAAATGGTGTTCTTGTGGTATTTATGCTTAAAATCTCTTCCTTGTTGTGACCTTTACTATCCACTGCATATACTACAACCAGATTGGAGACATGTAAATGAGGCCTTTTGAGAAACCAGCAGGTTCCTAGGAGAGAGAATATCTTCCCAATGTAACACAGGGTTTTTGTGTTTTTTTTTATAAGACCCTCTGTAATGCTCATTCTTGCCCATATGGGCCCAGCCTTTTTCTGAATGTGACTTCTCTTATTAATGTGTCTCCTTGTCATTCTTTGCCAACTACTCCTGGCGACATCTGGCACTTTCTAGCTGCCTATATAATTTGATATAGGAGTGAAAAGTGACAAAGGTGGGGTCCCCCTGATGGCATCAAACAAGGTCTCCAATTTTGTTTTGCAAATCCCGGTCTCCCAAAGTAACTCAGTGCTAAGCATTCCAGAACAAGAAGGGGGTAATTCCATCTCTAATGAATTTTGAGTCAATTTTTTAAGACTTTATTTTTTAGAGCAG